ATCGGAGAGCTGAACAGTTGACAGGCGAATTATATCCTCATTTGCGGTCGATATTTATTTTTTTGTTTTGCTCAAACCTTAAAAAGATTCTTATAGGGTAATTGGCGAAATAGTTATCACGTCAATAATAATACTTAATACTTATATTTATATTACTTAAATACTTAATACTTATCGTGGCAAGGGCATAATTTATTTTAAAAGTAAAAATGAATTGTAAAATAACTAAACTATATTATTATTATCTTCTAGCATTTAAAAGCATACCATAATGTGAATAACTCCAATGTAATACAATATTTAAAAATATTTTTTTATCAAATGCTTAATATAATATTATTATTTTAAGATGAAATCTCATGTATTAATTTTATAGTAAAACTAAAAATAACATTTCATTTTTTTATGCAATGTTGTAAATTATTTATTTTTATCATTAATTAAATTCATAACTCATAATGTAATATTTTTTATAATTGATTAATAATCATGAATGAATGTATATATTTTATAGATTACATGGTGAGCATAATATAAATAAAAACTATGAGGTTTTATTTAATTATACGCATATAGATTCCATTTTCAAGGTTTTCGTATTTTTTTAAACAGCTAGTTTTATTGATTCATCTAATAGTAGGTACCTACCTACTATATAGTATATAATATTATATATATATATATATATATTCATTTTGCCAACTTTTTTAAAATAAAACTACGAATAACATAATATAGAAACAATTCAGTTGACTACAGAAATGTGAACTGTTTAAAACACTCAAGTACAATTGGTTAAAACATAAAAGTTAAAAAATTTAAAATTGTTTATGAAAATAATTCCATATTATTCAATTATTATTTCTAATTTTAGAGATTTTGAGCTATCGGTCTCCTAAAAGAATTTATTACAATCTTTGGTAGCTATTCTATTTGCGTGTACCCATTGATGGTTGGAAAGAAAAGGTTCTATCGTATTAATTTAAAATTATTTAGGAGAATGTTTTCAATATTTTTTTAGTTTCAAAATAATTTATTGCAATTTATAATTTATATATTCCTTAAGTTCAATTTATGTACCTATAGTCATCTAAGAAATGTCAACTAAAAATAAAACCAAAACAAATTTATTTCTGTTAAGATTAAAAAGGTTCTTTTTTATAGAACCTTTTTGTTTTACTTTTGACAAAATCCTGTTAAATGAAAACTTTTTATATACATTTGTTGAATGAGTGTGGCCAACTTCTTTATCTTTAGATAAAAATGATGTCATATGTTTGATAGGTACCTACTCTAACGTTACATTACTTATTTTACTTTAATTCATGTTGGTCTTAATTTAGGTACATAAGTTTAAATTTTTAATATAACAATACAGTAACTAACATCGAGTATTGACGACTATACCTATGTAATAAATGTAAAAATAGTATGAATGAATAAGCTAAACCCCTAGCTGAAACGTTGCTTAGAAACGAATATTATATATTTCAAAATTAAAATTATGAATTATTGTGCATAGGGGTCACCAGTCTTTTACAACAAGTGAGCTACATTACAAAATTTAAGTATCTGGTGATCGACCATTTTTTTTTTTAAGGTAGGTATATTATTTATATTATTAGATGCAGCATAATAATAAATTAAAGGTAAGTATTAAAGGTAATACCTGTATCTAATAATACTGTCCCTTCTTTTATTATTTCTCCATCGGAAAAAAGTAGGTAGTTTTTAATCGCTAATACAGTAATACATAGGTAATGTATTTTGTATACAATGCATAAAACTGTGTTTGATTACGCACATGATCAACCGATATTGGAATAATTAATCTTTAAGACTTTATTCTTCTAAATATCGACTGGCGAGAGGCGACCCCTGCAGGTGTATGATTATAAAATCTTTCCCGATTCATTTACAAATAGTTTATAATACAATTATATATATAACTAGTATTATTATAATTTTGGAAGCATCATTATACATTATATAGAACGTTATCGTTCTAAATAATTTTGGGTTATTATTAAGCTGAACCTTTTCTTTCTAAATTGTGTACCTATTTAGTTTGAAAAGGTTCGCTATAACTAATACCAGGTTTACTTTTTTAATGAAATAAAACATTTTTTAGCTTTATTTTTTAAATGGCCATAACAAACTCATTTTTACCTTAAAATGTACAAAAACGCTGGTTTTGAAAAAAGTTGGATTTAGAACCCTTTCAATCTAAGCCTCCCCATGTCAATTTTAGATAAAAAGGTAGTACCAGCTATTATATAAAAGGTACCTATATTTAAATAATAATTTAATTACAAGAACTAGTTGAATCTATTTAGTTGAATTTAATTAGATTTAAGCTAACTAATTATTATATTTAATTAAAGTTAATTATCGTATTAGTGTACATTTAAAAAAAAGAAATTTTTTGAAGTTTTTTGTTGTTTGAAAGAATTTTTTTGTTTTTGAAGTGTATCACCAATTAAATATAAATCTGGACACAGAATTTAATTCTGCGTAAGTATTGATTTTGCTGAAGAAAACGCTCATGGAATTTTTGCTGGTTTTATCGATTTCAAAATAATCGGAATATTCATCGAAATTTGACAATGATGGATATTTTGAGTTGAATTGTTAATTTAATTAGACTAGAATAGTTAAATATTTCAAAGATGTTGTATAGGTTTAGGTTTTTTTAAAAATATCATTTATGTTTTTGGACTGGAAAGGTATAGGTACCACATTTTTTTTTCTGACTTCTACAGTACAGCCATGGAACCCAAATTATAAAAAAATTCAATTTAATGTTATAACTTAACCTTAGCAACTAAAGAATAATATAATTTCGTTTCCATAGCAACCAACTAAAAAATTTACACATGGAAATGTTGAATTTTATATCGTGATTGGATTTTTGTAAGGTATTTACAAATCTAGTATCTAGTATTTAAACAGAGTAACCAGTAACACATTTTATATTAATTATAATTAATACAATTACATACTATAGGCATTCAATTATAATATATTTTATTTGAAATGGCAGAAGGGTAGAATTGGTCAAATGACATAAGGACTGAAATATTGAAAAAAAATATATTTATATATATATGTGTATATAAGTATCTCCGTACTTATTTAATAAGTCAGATTTTTTTTTCTGAAAAACAAATTTCAAGTTGTGCTACAAACCTTAAATGTAGAAAGAATTAAATCTAACTGCCTACGTGCTAAGCATACCTACGTCATTAGCTCATAGCATACAATATTTAGCAGAATAATATTAGTATAATATAAATAATATTTATATTATATAGCAGTAAAACTGTACAAGTTATTTTAGAAATCAACGTTAAAGCTGAAAAATAAATTGCATCTCAAAAATATGTCAATATTTTTTTCTCTGTCTGACCAACGTACAATATAGCAAATTAGCTTTAAGCAGAACGAACCTTGTGTTTTTAGTTTTAGTATTATACTATTATATAGCGAATTGACCATTGTCAAACTATTAAAAGTGTTTGTTTTCACTATGTTTTAATTTTCATTTTAATGCTCTTATACCACTTTAAAATTTAGAATCGTAAAAAATCCAATGTACAAACACAGATAATGTTCTTAACTTTAAGTTAGATGACCACATTTCGCGTCCCATCACCACGCCCAGCATTCCAGTGTGTTCACAACACTAATCACAACAACGCTAATTTATAGCTACACAACATTAACTTTTTTTTATCTTACCTAAGCTTTTTCAAAAGTGTAAATGTTCTTTTACTTTTAACCGGGCTTTTAACTTTTATTCAAACACAAAAATGAATGAATTAATTTGTTTATTTTGTAAATAAAACAAGGACACCCCAGTACCATACTTCTGCAGGTGAAGATAATTATTGCATTATTTTAAGTACAGTTTTGATTAATTAAAATTGTATCAAACTGTTTTAGTCCGGATAAGTTATTTCAAATAAAATTAAATGCATATTACGATTGCGTTATAAATAATTTTATAACATTCAACTACCACAATCCACGCAGGTAATTATATCGTATTCAATACGATTGGTTAATGATAGGTTTTTGCTTGCAAACTTTTACTATTTTATTGTAAAATGCCAGAGCAATATATAAAAACATAATTAAATAACACTACAAAATATTCACGAAAGTATGAAAAAAAAAGTGGATATCGCTTTACTGTACAAATGGGTCACTATTGGATGGTATTAAATTTAAAATCTTTAAATACGAAAAATGATTCTGAGCGGAGCATATGCGCAACTATAGAGTCTAGACGTCTAAAAGCTTAAAGACTCTTTTGCGCCCCCCTAGTTGGGAAAATCTAGCGGAGACGGTTCGTCAGTGTGAATATTTTCTATTATATTTATATTGTTATTACTTATTAGTTATTATTAATACGGTAGCCGTTAAGTTGAATTAATATTAAAAAATTACACAAAAAATAACTAAAATCGTTATTCTTGGTTAATTAATATGTAATTTCATCCAAATTTGAACTGAATTATTAAAAAAAAAACTGTGTTTTTATATTATTGAGATTTTTTGGTTACAGAATAACATACTTACGTTTAAGCTTTTTTTAAATTTTCAATCCTTATAGCTATAAAAGTTGAACATTTTATACATTTTTAACTACAAAATCATTTTTAAATTTTAAATTTGACAAATATTGTCAATAATCGAACTTTAAGTGCTTATAAAAAATAATTGTGTCTACGTATTTTTGATATTTTCAACTACTATTGTAACAATATTTTAACTGTTCTAAAAGGGGATTACAGACAAAAAAAAAAAACACATATCATTGTAAAATCAATACATTTATCGCACCGCTCAGAATCTAAAAGGTAGCTTTTCAGCTGAACAGCGCAATGTGTTTATTTTTAAATTTTATTCAGCAAGATTTTTAATTTGATTTTTTGAGCTTCTATATTATGTTATCGTCTGAGTAAATGTATTAAAATGTCAACTCAAATATAGGTTTATTTTGACTCTACATAATATTGTTTATCAAAATTCACTGAGCATAGGTAATTATTATTCAATTCAAGACGCTTGGAGACGAAGACAAAGACGAACATTTTGACTAACCATACACCGGGTACAAGATATGAGGCGTGGTGAACTAAATATGAAATAATAATCATGCAAACCACTATCCCGACAGGAAGGGACTCGAGACTATGGTTCGGTTGCAGCTGCGCTTCATCGTCCGTCAATATCGTCTGGTCGATGTCCATGAATACGCAGGGCGGCTCCTCTCTTTCCGTTTTCGTGGGCTTGGGTGTTACCAAAACCATGACTGTCTCCCTGAATCCATGGAGCAGACCGTTGTCTCCTCCATGAACGGCATGGCGTGGCCAGGCTTGCCTCCTATTTAGTCACTACATGCGGTGGAGTCTCCACGACGGCCGCGCTACAGATGTCACCGGGTCCTACCCCTACTGCTTCGGTCCACTTCCAAATCCCTTGCTCCCACTCGAAATCAGTCACTTTAGAATATAAGGTGTATTTATGTAACCTCCTACAGGTGCCGTCTCCACCAGAACTTACCGTGCATGGTCATCCCAGCCGTACTCGTCCGGGAATTCCTCCACCTGAGAGATCGACGCCGTTGACGTTACGGTTTCTCATCGTTATGTCCATCAAGTGTCCAATAATGCGTAATGCCTACAACAGGGCTCTACCACTCAAAGCATTTTTCCTTTTATTTTCCACGACTTTTCTATGAGGTCTCAGGTCTCAACCAATTTTTGCACCACCGCTACTGCAACTGCATCAGCTTCCACAACATCACCGTAAAATCGTAAGTTTTTTTTTTTATTGAACTTAAACCCGGCGACTAAGTTTATAAGCTATTGTAGGAGTTATGAACTGTGGTAGGGGTAAGGTTTGTACAGTAGGTTATTTTTTACGATTGTATTACGGTTGTTACTGTAGGTAGCAAACACGTGTATGTGTGGCAAGGTTTTTAACTACTATGAACCCGAGTGGTCACCCATCCGGGAGCTAGGAACTGTGGCCGTTACTTACTCCCAGTCGGATTCCTCGACTAGTAGCACCCAACGCGCCATGCCACAACCGTAAGTATTATTAGACTTGGACTTGGGTATTATAATAGTCTACCAACCAAGTCTCGTTTGTAAATGGCCATTTAAAAATAGTCTCCTTGATATTATATTATTCGAATATCTCAAGACAAAAAAAAACATATTATAAAATACTAAACAGCCAGTATAGGTATAATAATAGGGAAATGTTGTAAACATTTTAATTTAATTAAAATTTGCAAATTACAGGAGGGGCAAAATAAAATATAGGGACACTTGCTTCACTCCGGGCTTCCATTAACAGATTCAGTGTTTGGGCCCTGGATGAGCATTTTCACACTTTTGATTTTTGCCCTTATTTATTAAAATATGGTTAATTTAATTAAATGGTATAACACCTAATGTTTTTTTTATGTACATATTATTGTTGACTATACTTTTTCAAATTAATGATATTAGATATTACGTTTAGAGCCGATTAGTTTTGAAATGTTTCATTCCTGGTTGCATAAACCATCACTTGCAATTTAATAAATCAATATAGTGATTTGTCACTTGTCAGTTATATTATACTCTCATTTGGTGGGCCGTGATTCGTTTTGTATTAATTATATTATACTTTCCACTATCGTAGACTATACCTATTGAGTATAATAATTAATCGATATCGGCAGAGAATATAATATACTTCATAAACATCTGAAATATTAATTTAATAAATGATAATAAGTGTTAGTATTATGTTTAAGTTTGTGTTCGGGCTCTATTATCATTTCAAACAATTCTATAATTTTAGATTCTGAGTGAAACGATGAATGTATTGATTTTACAATGATGTGTGTTTTTTTTTTTTTTTTTTTTATTTTTTTATTTTTTTATTTTTGTGTCTGTGTACACGATAAGTAGTCGAAATAATGCTTCGATTTTTGACTTCAGTATCTTGTTCGATTGGAAAGTGAATATCGTTGGTGCATTGGGGAGGTCAAAATTTAAAATTCCCAATAGTTTTCACAAGCGCCGGGAAAAACAACATAAAAATTAAGGAAAAACGGGAATTTTTACGCAAAATCAGTTTTTGACAAAATCGAATTTGGTTTTTGGTGTAACTTTAAAACAAATGACCGTAGATACATTAAATTTTCACTGGTTGTTTATATTTGCATTTTCTATACACGATAAAATTTTCAAAATATTTTGATTTATTTTGAACTGTTTAGGGACATTTTCATTTTCCATTTTTTTTTAGTTTTTTTTCTAAAAATATCAATAAAATTGTATTTGTTGGTTGCGAAAGCTTGAAAATTTAATAGAAGGCTCCTAATATGTTGTTTCAAAGGCAGATGAAAAATATTAAAAATCCTTAGTCACAATTTTTTTTTATAAGCATTTAAAGTTCAAAAATTGACAAAATATGGAAAAATCACGAAAATTAGCAAATTATTTTGAATTCGTAAAAATTTTTCTTTTTAAATCTAAGATTTGAAAATGAAACACAAGATTCCTTATAAGATTATCTACCTTTATCAATAAAAAAATCTCTACCGGACAGTCAAATTAAATTTTTATGAGCGTTTGAAATTCAAATTTTTACAACATTGGATTTTCACTTGATTACTCATGTAGCGATTTCCTTATTTTGTTGCAATTCAAAAACGAACAACTGTAGATACATGAAAATTTCACTGAATGTTTAAATTAGCATTTTCTATACACCATACAATTTTGAAAATATTTTGACTCTTTTTGAGCTGTTTATGGACATTTACAGCTTTCAATTTTTTTTAGTTTTTTTTTCTACAAATATCAATAAAGTTTTATCTGTTGGGCCAAAAAGTGTAAAAATTTAATACAAGGCTCCTGATATATTGTTACAATAGCAGTTGAAAAATATTAAAAATACATAGGCACAGTTTTTTTTTATAAGCATTTAAAGATCGAATTTTGACAGAATTTTTCAAAATCTCGAAAATTATTAATCATCGTAATTAATAAATTCTAAAATGTTCAGTTTTTATAGCTAAGGATTGAAAATTTAAAACAAGATTCTACGTAAGTAGTTAATTCTCTTACCGAAAAATCTAAAAAATATACAATCACAGTTTATTTTTATAGTCATTTTATGTTCAAATTTGGACGAAATTACATATTAAAAAACCTAGTTATTTTGTTGTGATTATATAATATTATTCGTGGGTACCTACTTGAGACTTCTAAAGTGTACTATTATATATCAATGATAGTATCAGGGTTTGTAATTGATCTTGATGTATAACGTGTTATAAGTACCTAATGGATATTGTGATAATGTGATATGATTAATTTGGAATTTATTATAGGTCAATTTTTTTTTTAATACCATAGATATGTATATAATTTGTCTTAAACCTAGACTGACATACCGTCTTCGCTCAGAATCGTTTTTCTTATACAATGATATTGTATCATTGAATTCAAATTTAATACCATCCATTATACAGTGACCCACTTGTAACCTACAGTACAGCAGAGCGACATCCACTTACCCACCTTTTTTATTAGGTATAGTTCAGATAAAAAAATTAACATATTTTGTCATCTTCACTTCTGTTCCAATTTGTAAATCCCGGAAGTAAGCGATTATAATATACGTCTTACATAAAGTAATGTTAACCACTGTGTTTTTTTGAATATAATGTACCCATTATACTAGTATACTACTATAATGTATTATTTATTGTATAAATATAAACTGCGAAATGAATAAAGCATTAAAAATATAATCACCGGTACCTGTACTGTTGTACATAAATACATTTCTACAAAATATTTTTGAAATATATCTAAAATGTCATTCTATATGATTTTATAACTGGGTTATTATAGATTATAGAAAAAAAACATTTTAATATTAATTTATTATTCGCATTATTAATGATACCTACCTAAATAGTATTCACTTGATCCGATTTTTGCATGACAGTTCAAAGAAACCTTAAAAACACTGTATAAAGTCATTACCTTTACAATTTCCAACTCCACAGTTCGTTATTCCCGAGTTAGATACTTATTTACCATACCCCAACCAAGATAAAAGTGTACATGTATGTTGTGTCACAGTAAAATAGTAAAAAATACCTCTTTAGATTTTTCTAAGTCAAAAAGTATAATAAAATATCTCCAAATATTGAGATAAAAAATAAAACATAATATTCATATAGGTACCTACATATATATTATTAGTAATAATTATTTATTACATATATTGTATATATTACCTACCTATATATTATATGTACCGAAATATTGATGTATACTTTTTACATTTTTCCGTGTTTGATTTTAATCAAAAATGTGTTAATACTTAGTAGTTTGAAAATACTTTAATATCTGTTACATTATTGAATTTACAATCAAAGTTGTTTGGATTATCCATAAACATTATTTTGTGTGAGCTGCATGTATATACTTGCCATACGAAATAAATAAATAAATATACTTGGAATACAGAGTTGGTATAAATTCTTACAATATTATCTAAGTATACTCTGATTACCTATATGAATTATAGATATGGATGCTACAGACAGTACTTACAACACGATATAGTATACATGTTCGACTATTAAATTCAAACATGAAAACAACAAAAAAATGTGTACCATAACCATATAGTACACATGATTTTATTTTGGGTAAGGTAGGTATATATTATAGAGTCTAATCAAAATTGTTCATTGTCTTCAATCTTCAACCAAATTGAATATAATATTTTCGTAATTTAGTTAATAGTTATACTTGATATGTTGTATAGCAGTACCACGTATTTAATTGCAATTTAATTTATTTTTATTTTTTTTGCTAAGGATTATAATATGATTCTACTTAGGTAGGTACTTAAAACAATTTTGATACAATCCAGGCCCCGCGGACCTCTCTCCTGGAAATTATGTGCTTGATCGTAATGAAAATATTTAAATAATTTATTTACAAGTGTGTACCTATAGGCTATAACTATATAACGATCCCCCCCTCATTTAAAAGGTCATATAAATAATAGAGTAAATTTTACAGATGACTGTGGTGTTGTGTAAGAAATATTAAACTTTTAAGATTCAATTGTAAGACTTAAATAAAAAACAATGCCTATATATTGTATATATAATAGTATTGTCATGAATGCATGCGTATATTATCTGACTTAGATTGTAGTAATGTACTTTAAACCTCGCTAAAGTAAATTTATAAATAGATATAATAATATAATAAATTATTATTATCATTATTAATAATAATACAGTGTCCACAGTTAGAATAATAACTCAGGACCAGAAAATCAATGTGGTTGGGAAAAAACATAATTTTTTGTCAACGATTGAATAAAGATATTTTCAGAAAAGTGTAAAATAATTTTACTTCTTTTTTCTTTTTTAAATCACTCTTAGTTCGTTGGCAATTCTGCTCATCTAGATCTGTTTTATTGTATAAAAAATTACATGAAATCTACGTTTTGTTTAAATCCTTGATCGCTGTACCTATATGTTTTTCATATACGTTAATTGTATGAGTAGGTATAATAGGTAATTGAATTTAAACATTATGGTTATGGTATACGAATCACGGATATATCATAATGTAAATGCATTTTTCATAAACTGTTCAGCAATTAGTTTTCACAAACGCCTTAACATATATAAAAATGATACAAAATATTAATATCTTAAAAACAATGTATAAATAGGAGTATAAAAAAAAACGTCTTATCGGTGAATAATATTGGCCATTCTGCTTATTTGCATCGCTTAATCCGTGTGCCGTTTAAAATAGGTACTTAATTGTCCAACATTCAACACCATATTATAACAGCCTTGAAATCATAAAAGGCTGTGTTTGTCTGCTTAATGAGATTATCTAATCAATGTTTTGTGAGGATAACCTGATGTCCAAACTATTCTCTTTTTGCAGTGTTTCTTCCGAATTTTCTACCCCGCTTTTGACCGTCGACTCTTTTACTCGCCGTTCCTTTAGATGTTCGTTGTACATCCATCTATTAAAATTTAATATAACACGCGAATAGATAAATGTATAGTACGACGAATTTATCATATTATTGTGCATGAAAATATTATAATTTTCATCGCTTGTACGATGTACTTACAGGAATATAATCGCTGCTGGAGCCGTTAACAAACCACCGAGTAAAAAAAACGCTCCAGGAAATGTCTTCAATGTGTGCTTGTACACAGAACTGTACATCGGTCCATAAATCAATGGTACCAAAGCTTCGCAAACGCCAAATATTGAATTCACTTTGCCTGAAATATTTTCAGCACGATTAACACGATAATTTGTGATTTAAATCTGCCCATGCCTACCTAACTCATCGGACGGCACGAGCTTGGAAATAATTGATCTCATAGCAATAAACGATGTACCGTTTATGATTTCCACAAGTGGTGCTGTAAACATAATATGGAAAGTATTACATAATATATCGTTAGACTATAGTGAATTTTATAAATTAAAAATTTTCCTACGTTTTGAAGATTATTCATGGTAAATATTCTATGATTAAATAAAACAAACACTCTAATCTAGATATTCAATTACAAGTATTATAATTTATATAACTCACCTAAGTAAAATATGAAAGCGGTAGGGGCAAACGCATAAACAAATCCTGCTAATATTTTGCTCATACACGACATTACTCCAATTAAGGCATCGTCGATTCCCAACTTATGACTGAACACACCAACTGAAAACATCGTGCCTAAATGATGAAAATAAAAATTATAGTCAAAACTATACAATAATTATTAACACCACAAAGCCAATAATCGGTTAGTAAGTTATGACAAACATATTATACAGTGGTGTTAGTATTTGAGTTAAGGTGAATATTTATATTGTAAGTATATTGGGATCTAAATACTTTTTAAAGTATTATATACTAGAAGTGTTTAGAAGTATTTCACTGTATTTGAGTACATTTTAATCGTATGCCCAGTAGTTCATCTGTGGAGGAAAATGTTATTTAGTGTTACTGCGCAGTTCAGCTTTACTTTAAAGAAAAAAAACCATTAATATGAATGATATTCATTTTGAGCAAGTCGTGTTTTTAAAACGTAACCAACATTTATATGATTAAATACATAAATTATCATTCAAATAATTTCTATTAAATAATAAAACTTTCATAATAAAATGTGTTCACCTTGATAACTATTTAAAAATGTTAAATATCACCTACTACAGCGGAACCTCGGTATCTCAAACTCCGTACATCGATTTTTTTTTGCAGTTCCGATTAATTCACATAATATTATTTTAAATTACCTCGGTAACTCGAAGTTTCGAAAAGTTGAATTTATTTTTTTGGTCCTTTGAGGCTTCGAGATACCGAGGTTCTACTGTATTTTATAAATAATTTAAATTTAGTTCAAATAATCCTCTTCCAGAGCCTTATTTATATTTAAAATTAGTAAAAGTATGAAAAAAACTCGTATCTGTAACCGTATCGTACCTAATTATTAACATAACAATATAATATTTAATAAAAATAATTAGTATTTAAAATACTCTTTTAAAAGTTTTGAGTACCTGATACTTAAATACACTACAAAAATAGTATTTTTTATAACACTGCAAACCTATAAGATTGGTAACCATAGCGTATGTGGAAAACAAACTGAAGTCAATTTCGTTCCAATTGAATTTTAATCGTGTAAACATGTACATCATTGACATTTCCCCTGAAAATAAAAAATGCCATTAAATCGAGTTGGGTACTGTGTTACAATCGCGATATCTCATGGTTGTATACAGTTTGATTATATGAAGTAATAAAATACATATGGACAGTATTATCAGGGCCCCCACAAGGGGGGGCTGTTGGACTTGTAGTTCAAGGGCCCGTTGAAATTAATTTGTACTTTTTGAAATTTGGATTGGAATACTTATTTTATATTAAATAATATTTTATAGGGACCTCAAAAACATTTAGTACAGAGGCCCAAAATTTGATGTGAATAATCAATAACTACAATGATAATTTATGTGAAATTTGGTGTTAATATGTTATTTATACAAAATAAAGTTAGTAAGACAAATTCTCGCATTACACACCAACACATAAACGTAACTACCATAGGCCGTTATGATAAATTAGTCGTATACATATTAGAGGTTGTGAGGGGTATAATTATAGGTGTAGATTCTTACAGTAATACAATGTATTGAAATGTAGTGATAGTGATTTTCTAACAATATATTCTTTGTTAATTATTAAAATGTAATACGCATAGAATGTATTTAACGTAGGTACCGAAATTGAAAAAAAGTCTAAGAGTAGGTATAATGACTATAATATTTATTTTATTTTATTTACAATATACCTACATGCCAAACGGCAGTTACAAAGGGGCAGAAAACCAATTGAGTTACTTCGGTTTTTAAATTCAATAGTACAAACATAATGTATATTTTAAAAGACGGGAATCAGGGAGTGTATGTTCTGAGCATGCTGTGAAGGGGTGATGGTTAGGTTATGGGGGCCGTAAGAGCTGTTGTAACTGGAGATAACGAAAAGGAGCTGCATGTTGCGGGTAGTGTACGATAGTGTAAAGGAGATTCTTTCGAGAAGATCTGGTTCTGGTGGATCCAAAGACCCATTTAAAAAGAAAAGAATGAATTGTTGGTCAGCTTCGAGGCTTCGATATAGTTTGAACTCGGAGCACTTCATTGATAGGAGAGAAGTCGTGAGATTATAATATATAATGAATATAGTTTATTTTTGTATTCGTGTGATTAAAACGTCGATGTATTCTAATTCCTAACATAATGATATAATATAAAGTATAGAATTTATTATACGTTGAATTTAAATTAAATACCATAATATCAATTATGTCGGTGTTTCCAAATTGCGGACAAAGTGACAAAAACCATGTGAGTTGCGGACGAAATCTAAAAAGGTAACATACGAATTGCGGACACAAATATAAGATACTAATTGCGGATAATGTTACAATATTCACCTGGTGAATTCAGTAGAATATCATATATACAGGCTGTTTTAAAAACTATGACGATAATCTATAAATATTTTATAAACAATTTTTTCCACAAAATTAAAACAATCTATAATTCAACAACATTTTAAAAATAACGATTACTCTTTTGCAAGACACAAATATTTTTAACCCCACCTACCAATTTTTTTTTTAGCTTTTGTCATAAGTCCTGAAAAAGTGGTGAAGGGAAATATTTGTGTCCACAACTAAAGTAGTTTTTATTAAAAAAAGCTCTGTACGCAATTAGTATTATGACAACGAAACTCGTGTCCGCAATTGTTATATTATAATTCCTAACCTGAATAATTCGTCCGCAACTAGTATGTGTCCAATTATGTAACATTATATGATATTTAAAAATATTTGATAAAATAAATGATAATATTAAATATATTTATATTTTAATTTACGAACCATACAAAGGACCCATTACGACAATGACGACCACTAACAAGGAAATGATCCTTAACCTTCTGTTGTGCTGTCCTTCCTTGAACGTTACTCGAATAGCCTCCTTGATGTTGCTCAGGCTAAAAAAATCCTCGATCAAATAAAAACAAGACGTGGACTTAGGTGGTTCTTTGCTTTCTAAACATGTCTCTGGTTTTGGTTCTTTGATAAATATCCAGCCGTATGAAATCGTAAATGCGTACATCACTATAGCTATGGTGTACACACCGTAAAATCCGAGTCCTCGGAACAATACACCCGACAATGCGGTGCCGATGGGAACGGCAACGGAGTAAAAAACGTTCGCTATTCCAATCCTTAGTGTACGGTATTTTACCTAAAAAGCCAATGAAAATTGAAAATATACAGTTGGGAAAAATCTGTACCAACTCTGCAAATCTAAAACGTATTTATTTCGATTTTGTACACCGGACGATTATAACGTTAATATTTGTTGCACAAAGCTTACAATTTCTTTTACTCGACTCGGATTTAAAATATTCATTAATTCACAGATATTTCAACTCCGCAGTGTCATTATTTAAAAAAGAATACACGGTAAGATCCGATTCAGTTGAAAAGTCGTGGACAATAGTTGTATAACTATACAATAATTATCAACGTATCGAATTGACTACCTATATAGTGGCAATGTCCACCTTTGGTTTTTTAACTCACCGAAGATACGTCGCCTATATAGCTAAATATAGCCATGACCATCGTCATCCAGCCACCAGTCATGGCCGGAGGCAGGCACTCGACCAGGCCGACCACTTCCACGGGCAGCTCGTAAAAGTAATAAGTACAGACGAGCAGCCCCACGCTGGTCAGCAGCTCGCCCACGATGGGCACCAACATGCACGGCTTACGCTTGTGGTTCCGGTCGCTCCACGACCCGATGAATATGATCAACACCATCGGTATGCTGCTCTGCACGATCGTTTTCCATATGATCATGTCGGTCACCAGCTCCTGGACCATGACCTCCTCCTTGGCGTAGTCGTCCGAGTTCCGGTTATCCAGCGCCGAACAAGTGCTGTTGGGCAGCTTCAGGTTCACCCGGCACGCTTTCTGCAAGTTCAAGTTCTGCGTGCACAGCCCCGTTAGGACGCTGGTCATGATGTAACACCCGAACATGGGCTCGATGGTGCAGTGATCGAAAATGAACTTGAACTTGGACACGACGCTCATGGTTTGCCACGCCTCGGCATTTTCGTCGGGAGGTGCGGAGGACGTTTGGGGCGGCTCACACTTTGTCTCGACTGAGGTCTCGTCGTGCGAGACTGTTTTCGAGTCGTCGATCATGTTGTTGTGTTATTATTTTTATGGCCGTTGACTATATTATAGTCCAACACTATACCAGCCAGTTGAAAACGATGACTTCAACTAGGCATACTTTCTAAAACCATACAATTTTAAATCGCATATGTAATCAAATGAAATACAAATTTTAAAATTGTTGTAATTTTTTTTTAACGTTTAAGTAATAACGGTATAATGCAACATAATATTGTGCAGGAACGTATGGCATTCATAATATTCTGAAATAGACATTTGACCGTCCATTCTATCCACCATAAATGTAACGTTCGTGCAACCAAAACTGTAGACGTTAATTGATAACATTCAATATAAAGATTAAAGATATTATACTTTCATTTTAATGACATTTTGACATTAGAAATTCAAAATAAAATTGTATTGAATTATTTATATCCCGATACCTTGGTTCAGAATATTGATAAAAATAAAGAACTATAGAAACCACAGATAATGTTCACATCTTTAAATTTTATATATGAGGTCAATCAACTTTAATAACCTATAGAGGCCACAGTTTTGGTTATATACTTCTACGGATATTAAATTTGTTATGCTGCGACACAACATATAAAGGGAACATCCTTTTAATAATTACTATATCAAGCCAATTTTGAAATTTGAATGCTCAAAATGTATTCGTATATATTTTTGTAAGATTTTTTTATTTGACAAGATAATAATATACTTATTATTACTTACATTATAAGTTAGTACTTTCTTCGAATACGTTTGTAAATTTATTTTAATTTCATCTGTTTAATTATGATTTTTATATAACAACATACACAATAATTTAAACTTTAAAGTATTCTAGATTTCACCATTGTAATAATAAGTCGTTATGTTTAAAATGTTTAAACACTATAAATTGAACTTTAAAATAATGATACAAATGAAATAATGATGGCTTTATTGAGTATTGTTTGATCCCACCTACCTAAATCATATTGAAAATAACATATGCATATTTTTTCATATTACAATTCAAAACCAGCCGAGGTACTTGGCTATAATCTCTCTCTCTCTCTCTCTCTCTCTCTCTCTCGCTCCCTGTGTGTCTCCCTCACTCACTCCTTCTCTTCATATTATTCTTACATATAAGTACCTACTATAAAACCTAACTTGACCTACCTTATAAGAGTAGAGTTTAACCGGTTTAAAGAGAGTTACAGAATTGGGTGTGCCACTTGGCGCTTAGTGTTTTAAAATTTAAAGCTATAATACATCATTACATTCAAAAAACTCTTCTGATTTTACCAAAAAAAAAATCTACATTTTATCAAAACTACAGAAAAATTTAAATACATACACTTCAAACGAACACCTTATTTTTTCAATTATAAACATAAAGATGCCATATGCAAATTACACTTTTTGATTTTTAGTACCCGAAAAAGTGTAAACCAAAACTAACAAAAACATACACCACCGAAATTGTGCAATTATAGTTGTATATTGTGATGTGTACGTTGAACAATTATATAGGTAAAGTGCACATTTAAAATTTTAAAAATTTTAAATTAACTAAATTAACAATTAAAAATCATTATCCATAATGTGTTAAGTGGTGTCCAGTGGCGGATTTAACGGTTGTTAAGCAAACTGGAATATAATTTACCATTACTTTGATAATAAAATAATTTAAACATATAGGAATATTTAAAATTTTAAATTTTAAAATTAAACAAAGTAGAAAAGATTGAACTAATTACTTACCTAAGTAAATAATTAAATCTGAGTTATTCTACATCCTGGGCCCTGGCCACAACTATTAATCATAAATAATATAATTTATAATTATAATCGATGCTGCCTACGTAATCAACTGCTAATACGTAATCAATTTCATGGCATCTGTGTTTCCATACGGTACAAATTAAATTACACCAATACTAAGAACTCTGTTAGTCTGTTATCGCCGAAACTAAAATAACCTAAACTAAAAATTGGAGTGTGGGTACTTATTTAAGGTAGTTGCTTCATAGGGAAAAAAGTTCACTCCGCCATCATAATAATATCATAAAAACTATTATTATCAGCCCCTAAAATGATGTGTAGTAGTGTAGTACGAAATTTAAAAATGTATAATTCAAATTAGACCTTTATAATATTATAATGAATAATTTTATAGCTTCACATTTTTTAAATATTTTTTAATGGTATTTGTAAAACTAAATTTTAATAGCTATTATCTACATTCTACACAGATACACACAGTAAACTTATTTATTTGTAAAAAATAAATAATAAATGTTAACATTTTTTTTTTTTTATTATTAGAATATTTGTTAGTATAAAATGCATATCGGTTGGTCACTATTTCTCTCTAGCGAAGAGAGCGGCTTAGTCAAATCAGGGTGATTATGTAACTGATACATTCTGTCCGACTGTCCCATACGGCATTTGGGAAATTATAATATTTTAAAGTACTTGAGTAATGAATATTTGACTAATATTGTATAAATATTTTCTTCTCATAATAACAAAATATTGTACTATATGATTACATAAAAATGCTGACTTAATATTTTTATAAAGTTTCCGTAAAAATATTTTTTTATAAATATATGATTAAAATGTTTTGTTATTGTTTTTATAAAATATTTTCAAAAATATGAACTTCTTGGCCAAAGAATATGACTAAAATATTTCCTACTTATTTACTCAACCATATTATTTTTCTAAAAATATTTTTACCAAAGTTAGGAAATATTTTTATGGTGTGTAGGGTACGAGGCCCCTCGTCTTATGGATTTGCTCCTATTACTTGACCCCTTAAATCAGTTACATCCGCCACTGCAATATACTGCATCTTACATAGGCATTTTATATTTAAACTACATGCTTAATTGTATAGAATTATAAAAAAACTATCTTTTTTATAAACACTTAACTTTGAAATGAGTACTTATTTTTGCACAAAGTTCTTTTATGCAAACCTTAACACACTCTAATAGACGTGTTATTAATATGTTCTACAAAATTTAGAGTGCCAATACAAAATCGTAATCAAACATTCGAAAAATCCCAGTCTTAAAATCCATTACTCTTCGAATGATAACTATTTTCCTTGTCAATACGTTTCCATTTTCTAATAACATTTTACACATTAGCACTTGTAAAGCAAATTCACACTGTAGGTATAAACCACACCTGTTCTCCAAAGTTCAATTACATATTATTTTACGACTTGCGATGCACCATTATATTTATTTTAAAAACAGATATTTTAACAACGTTTACCTAAAAAGTAAAAACTTCGTAGTAAAAGTGTTTTATTTATTTTTCAATTTATTATTTCCTAGAATTTGTATGTACCTACGAACAAACCAAAATTATACTATCTTTGATTGATTTCAAATCAATTATACTAGTAGGAACCTAATTAATTAATATTATGAAACTTCTAGAGCATTTTTAATACCCAAAAACGTGTTTTCAGGTAAAAAAATTATGTATGAAAACCAATCAATCACATTTTTAAGAATAATTGTAAAACCCAAATTTTCCTCTCAGAGTTAAAAATATATTAATACACTCACACCATAATAAATTATTTATATATAAAGAACCTTTTTTAAAAAATAAAAACCAGGTATAGGCACTCAAAATAAACAATCTTATCAATACTTTATCGTGATCGAATTTAAGAAAAACATAATGTATAAAGCATTTTACATTTATTAATGGCTTAAATAAAATAATGGTTATACGTCGAATAGAATGCATAAATTTGAATAAATATATTACATATATTATACACTTCTTAATAATGTATAAAAGGCCCTCTAGTTGGTCCTTATGTACTTAAACGAGCTCTAAATTGATTGAGGTCTTTATAATAAAAATAAGTTTAGTTCCGATGTTTAAATCATATACTGAAAATGTATACAAGGTTAAAATAATTTATTATTTATACTACAAATACAATTTAAACTTAGATAACAAACATGTTAATACTTTTGAATTAATTGTACACATTTATATAATTAGTATAATTTCAAACTCAAATGGGGCAAAGGCGTATATTAGATGATCTTTATGCCTACGGTTGGTGGGTCTAGGCATTAAACCTAATCACTGACTAAATTATAAATTTCCAACATTTATTTCAATAAGCAAAATAATATATTATTGTTCATATTATTTTATATATTATATATTCCTTATGAACACAATAATTATGAAGCAACATTTTTAAACAAACTTTACCGAACTTTACTTTATATAAAACCATTTTTTTTGAAGAAAAATACGAACAAATTGCAAGTATAACTTCTCAAATATTAAGACGCATGTACAAAAACCCGATTTGTTAAAAATTAAAAAATGTATTGAAATATACAATCGAGATTTCTAGAGGACACGAAATAATTAAGTAAAAACTCATAGTTATTATAAAAAAGCTACAGTACAAAAATAAAACCTAAATGAGTAGGTCAAGACGGTTTTTTATGACTATATAGATTTAAAATAATATGTGAAAAACATATGATTTCCTTGCCTGACAAATAGAGGTAGAGCGGCGCAATAAGAATCTGTCGGACAAAAGTCTGTGTGGTAGAAAGCCTTTGTATAAAGTGATTTCTGTGGGTCACCGAATCATTGTGCGATTTTCCCACTCGACTATATGTATTATATTTGTACCATAGCAAAAAATTTATATTACAATAATATTTTTAAAAAAATATGTGGTCGAACATCGGCGCCGCATTATATTGCACTTGACGTTTTCAATAGAATATAATATGTTGTGAAAAAAAAATGGAAAAATGCGCTCACCCATCCGCTCACCTTGGTATATATGTATATAATTATGGCATTTTTTTTTTATTAAAATGAAATGTCGAAATGATGAATGAACGATTTACGTGTGCAGTGCTTACCTCTTGTCCATTTACGCGTACAGGTGCGTATAATATAATAATGATATATTACATCCCTCAGCGGCTGGCCGTGAATACGTCTCGAAACGAAAATAA